GGCCATCGTTTTGAAGATGTTCTGAAGACAGTAATGAGCCAGATAGGCCAACATCTGCATGCAGCAGGAGCAGATGAAAATTTTGATGATGATGATGATGATGACTATGACAATGATGAGGAAGAGGACGGAGTAAAGGTGAAAGAGGAAAGGGAAGTGGATAAATTTACTACTGCACAGCCAGTGCAAATGGACTTAGGATCATTATCCTCACTTCCTCCTGCTCATTCATCCTCGGGCCAGGGAGCACGACCTCGTCGAAAGCAAACTGGACCAGCTCCAGGACTGTCGCTTTCTACCAATGATCTTAACCCACCTCAGATACAACGGGTTGTTGTTGAACATGTGGTTCGAAATACTGATTTGACTGGTCCAACCTCACTTCGTCTCCGTACTTTTTCAGGAAGGTTTCCTAAACCGAGTAATGAAGCTGATTTTGAGTCCTGGCGTTCCCAGATTGAGTCTCTGCTTGCTGATCCCAGTCTCTCTGCGCTACATATCACTAGACGAATCACAGAGAGCTTGTCATCACCTGCAGCTGATTTGGTCAAAGGTTTGAGCCCCAACACAGTACCAACAGTTTTGCTAAACATACTAGATTCTGCCTTTGGAACAGTGCAGGACGGTGAAGAATTGTATGCACAATACTTAAACATTCTGCAGAATCCAGGGGAACGACCGTCCACTTACCTTCAAAGACTTCTGCTCACTCTCAACACTGTTGTGAAGCAAGGAGGAGTTTCACCTGCTGACATTAATAAACATTTACTCAAACAGTTTTGTCGTGGGTGTTGGGATAACACTGTCATCACAAAGTTACAGCTGGAACAAAAGAAAGACAACCCACCATCTTTTTCTGATTTATTGTTGTTACTCAGGACAGAAGAAGATAGGCAACATGCTAAAGAATCACTTATGAAAAAACACATTGGAACGTCCAAACAGAAAGTTAACATCCAGTCCCAAAGTGCCTGTTCTTGTGGACATTCTACATCCAATGAAGAGCTGAAAGAAATGAAAAAACAGCTTCAGAAACTACAGCAGCAAATGTCCCAACTTCTGTCCAGGAAGAGTCCAGCTGAATTCAAGTCCATGTCAAGACAGAACAAGTCCTACTCTTCACCTCAGGTACGAACCAAGCCCAAGCCTTGGTACTGTTTTAATTGTGGAGAAGACAGCCATCTTTCCTCCTCCTGCACAAATAAAGCAAACCCCAGTCTGGTTGAGCAGAAAAAGAAACTGTTACGCCAGAAGCAACAAGCATGGGATGCCAAAATTTCAAAATCTTTAAACTAGAAACAGCTCCTGTAGTGGGACACACAGAAGCTGTGTATATGAACAGTCCCAAAGAACGCAGGATAAGAACACTGCCACAAGGTCTTATTGGCACAAAGAGCATATGCCAAGTTCAGATAAAAGGAGATCAGCTTAACTGCCTCCTTGATTCTGGCTCACAGGTTACTACTATCCCCTACTCCTTCTACAATACTTACCTCAGGGACCATGAAATCAAACCAATAAACAACCTGTTGGAAATAGAAGGAGCAAATGGACAAACAGTGCCTTACCTGGGATATGTAGAGATCAACATGACCTTCCCACCTGAATTGTTTGGTTTACCTGTTGAAGTTGACACACTTGCTCTTGTTGTGCCTGATAATAAGCCATCTCAACATCTGGTTCTCATTGGCACAAATACCTTAGATGTTGCTTACAGCAAACATTTTGACACTCACCCTGACGAGTCATTTCAACCTACAGTCTCTGGTTATATAGCGGTGTATAAGATCCTCCAACACCGCTATGCCCAGAGTTCGAATGAACTTACTGCAACTGTCACCCTGCAGTCTAGTCAGCCCCAAATCATTACTGCTGGGCAGACCACAGTTGTAGAAGGGTGCTTAGCTTCAAGATTGTGGCAAGGAGAAAAACAAGTCCTCCTGGAACATCCGAGTTCCTATGCCCTCCCTGGTGGGCTCATGGTAAAAGCCTGCCTCATTGACTTGCCTCAACACCGGCCGTGTCATGTGCCAGTCGTTGTGAGCAATGAGTCGAACCATGAGATTCATATTCCAGCACGAGCAGTCATAGCAGAAATCAGCACTTTCCAGAGTGTGATCTCACAAGAGCAAACAGTCCACAATTCAACCCAGTCTACAGAGTCCCTACAACCATCTCAACCACAATACAACTTTGGAGACTCACCTTTATCTCCAGAATGGAAGCAGCGAATCATCCAGAAACTCAACAGTATTCCTGAGGTGTTTGCAAAGCACGAGCTGGACTTCGGCCGGACAGACAAAGTTAAACATCAAATCAAGTTGTCTGATCCCACTCCTTTCAAACAAAGGCCAAGACCAATCCACCCTCAGGATATTGATGCTGTAAGAAAGCATTTGCAAGAGCTTTCTGATTCCGGAGTAATACGCGAGTCTGATTCACCATTTGCTTCTCCAATTGTGGTTGTACGCAAGAAGAACGGCAGTGTACGCCTCTGTATTGACTACAGGAAGCTAAATCTTCAAACAATAAAGGACGCCTATGCTCTACCCAAGCTTGAAGATACATTTTCTGCCCTTTCTGGATCAAAGTGGTTCACTGTGTTAGACCTTAAGTCGGGCTATTACCAGATTGAAATGGAGGAAAAGGATAAATCCAAAACTGCCTTTGTATGTCCATTGGGGTTTTGGGAATTCAACCGCATGCCGCAAGGGGTCACCAATGCCCCAAGTACATTCCAAAGGTTGATGGAAAAATGCATGGGAGACTTAAATTTAAAAGAAGTTTTGGTTTTCATCGATGATTTAATCGTTTTTGCACCTACCTTGGAAGAACATGAAGAGCGCCTGATGAAAGTTCTCAACAAACTTAAGGATTTTGGGTTGAAGCTGTCAGTTGAGAAGTGTGTGTTTTTCCAAACATCTGTGAAGTATCTGGGGCATGTTGTGTCCCAGAATGGTGTTGAGACAGATCCAGATAAGATCAAAACACTTACCTCCTGGCCAGTGCCCAAAAACCTAAAAGAGCTAAGGTCTTTTCTCGGTTTCTCTGGATATTACCGCCGTTTCGTCCAAGGATATTCAGCCATAGTTAAGCCATTGCATGACCTGACTGCTGGTTATCCGCCATCTCAGAAGAGACTGAAGCCAACGGTAAAGCCAGAGAATTACCTGAACCCCAAGGCACCATTTGGAGGACGATGGACTCCAGTGTGTGAGAAGGCTTTTGAAACCATAATCGAAAGATTAGTCTCTGCCCCTGTATTGGCATTTGCTGATCCACAAAAACCCTACATACTCCACACCGATGCCAGTTCTACCGGTCTTGGTGCGGTGTTGTATCAGGAGCAGGGCGAAAAGAACAGAGTTGTGGCATATGCCAGCAGAGGTCTCTCGCGGAGTGAATCCAAGTATCCAGCTCACAAATTGGAATTTCTCACTCTGAAATGGGCAGTGACAGAGAAATTCAATGATTATCTTTATGGTGCTCAGTTCACAGTTGTCACAGACAGCAATCCACTGACTTACCTGTTATCCTCAGCAAAACTTGATGCGACCGGTTACAGATGGCTTTCAGCTTTGTCAACATTCACATTCAAGATCATCTACAGAGCCGGAAAGCAGAACATGGATGCTGATGGATTGTCTCGACGACCTCATGGTGAGCTGTCTGATGATCCTACCTCCCGGAAGGAACATGAACGAGTCCTGAAGTTCGTTCAGCATCACCTCAACGAACCAGATTATGTTTCCATTGATCAGCACACCATCGAAGCAGTTTGTGCCCGTCACCTGGTGTATAGCCCAGGTGCACATCTTGACCACGCTCTGGTGTTGTCTATGACCACTCATGTCAACAGCCTACCTGACAGCTTTACTGATGATGAACAGTTCAGCTCCCCTTCACTTCCTCTATTCTCAGCAGATGACATTGCAGCTAAGCAGCGTGACGACCCTGTTATCCGCCATGTCATAGCTCAGCTGGAACGAGGAGAATCACCATCACCATCGGTGAAGGAAGAACTTCCTGAACTGCCCCTTCTACTCCGAGAAGTAAATAAAATGGAGCTCCAAAACAACCTTCTCGTTAGGAGGAGACAAGTGGGAAGTGAAACAAAGTACCAACTAGTATTACCTGAGGGGTATCGAGCTGTTGTGCTGCACCAACTGCATAACCAAATGGGTCATATGGGAATTGACAGAACTATAGACTTAGTCCGTTCCCGTTTCTACTGGCCTAGGATGTTTATTGATGTTGTCAATAAAATCAGAACCTGTGAAAGATGTGTGAGACGCAAATCTTTACCAGAACGAGCTGCACCTTTGGTCAACATCAAAACCACTCACCCCTTGGAGTTGATGTGTATGGATTTCCTCTCTGTAGAACCGGATCGCAGAATCAAAGACATCCTTGTTATAACAGACCACTTTACAAAGTATGCCATTGCTGTGCCTACTCCAAACCAAAAAGCTAAGACCGTTGCTAAGTGTTTGTGGGATAATTTCCTCATGCATTACGGCATTCCAGAAAAGCTGCACAGTGATCAGGGTCCAGATTTTGAATCAAGAACCATCCGAGAACTCTGTAAAATGGCCAACATTCACAAAATAAGGACCACACCATATCATCCAAGAGGAAATCCTGTGGAACGTTTTAACAGAACGCTTCTGGACATGCTGGGAACATTATCTGAAAAAGAAAAAACTAATTGGACGGATTTTGTAAAACCACTAGTGCATGCTTACAACTGCACAAAGAACGATGTCACGGGATACTCACCCTACGAGCTGATGTTCGGACGCCAACCCCGCCTACCGGTGGATTTAGCTTTTGGACTGCCATTAAATGAGGATGGATTTTGCTCCCATACGCAGTATGTGCAAAAGTTAAAGTCCCACCTGGAGGAAAGCTACAAACTGGCCAGTAAGAACTCAGCTAAAGTGATGCAGCGTAACAAAACCCGATTTGACCAGAAAGTTACTGCATCAGAACTTAATGTTGGAGACAGAGTCCTAGTAAGGAACGTGCGACTAAGGGGAAAGCACAAACTCGCAGATAAGTGGGAGTCATCTGTGTATATTGTTGTGAAGAAAGCCGGCAATCTTCCTGTGTACACAGTCAGACCGGAAGGCCAGAACAAACCACTAAGAACCCTGCATCGAGACCTTTTATTGCCATGTGGATACTTACCTTTTCCTGAGGAAGAAATGCCTACCAGAGCTAAAAGGAAATCTCCTGTGTTTTCTCCAGTATCTCCTGATGATGAAGAGGGTCCATCAGAGGAAGAACTAGTCGATCCACCTTTGCACATTCCATCATCTTTTGAACCTGTCAGATTTACGATTGATATTGACCTGCCTCCTGTCGAGCAGTCTGTCCCAGGAACTGAACAGTTTGTTCCCATCACACAATCTCCAGTGCCTGTAACTGAAGAGGACAGTGATGCTGAGGATGATGAACCCAAATTTGTGGAAGGGGAACCTATGACTGTTAAAGAGGAACAACTAACAGTAGACAGTGAGGAACCTGAAATTGATGCTGGACAAGTCAATCCTGCTAACGCCTCCAGAGTTGAAGGAAGACTCTCTCCAGATCCTGATACTCCAGAGTCTGACAATGCAGAACATGACACACAAGAAACTGATATATTTGACATTCCCAGCCATACTGAAGAACCTCACTCACCAGTGGATTCAGTATCTCTGGACAGTGAAGACCAACCTCTGAGACGTTCTAGCCGCACAAGAAATCCACCTGATCGATTACAGTACACTAAACCTGGCAAACCATTACTGAAAAGCATTCAGGCTTTGCTTCACGGTTTGAGCTCTGCTTTCTCCTTCGCCCTTCAAGAAGATGAAGAAGAACAGTTCATTGCTCCGTACTCCAATCAGCCTCCCATTTGCTGCCAGCCTGGTGCATGTACGAGGACGTACATGGGATCAGGAGGGGAGGGTGTAACCTGCATAAAATAAGAACCCGTATTTTATTTTGGCGGGTCAAATTGATAGCACCCTTTAAGTTCCGGGTCACAGGTGACTCAGATCTGAATAGCTGTTGCTGCTGTCGCTGTGGCTAGCTGCTCGTCTCGGCGTCTTCTAAACTAATAGAAGAATACGGCTGGATCAAGGCTTACTAAGACGGCCGAAGGATTTAACTGAGTGTTTTCTGTCGACCGCTCGACGGTGAGTCGTTTAATTTACGTATTTTGTTTTTCTTTAGAAATAGAAATGCGGTGGCGACACGCCCACTAAATTTGTGCATTTAAAGATTGAAAAGTATATTTATTGACTTAAGGGTCATTTTCTTTTGTTAATTTTGTGGCCGAATGGATTATATGTTGTTAAAATATTAAATAGGCCTTTTGATTTTTGTAGATTCATCCTTTTAGGACGGTTTCAGTTACTTTTTATTAAATTTTGCTAACAGCCTACAGAACTCTGGGCTTAGATATTTTTTTGTGAGGAATAAGAGGAAAAAAAACAATTCTTTTTTGAAATGATATGGAAGTCAATTAAGTTTAATTGACTGCGTCAATTAAACTTAGATGGAATTTAAAAAGTGCACTTTACTTTGATCTGTACCGGTAACTTTACTTTGATCTGTACCGGTAACTTTACTTTGATTTGTACTAGTAACTTTAATCTGATCGCGATCTTTAATTTAAATTCATGAGAAACACTTATTGAAATGAAGTTATTTATTTATGTTGTAATTGTTGAATGTTTCTTTATTTTGAATAACATTTTAACAATGTTTAAATATGATAGCTAATTTGTATTTTTATTTATGACCTTGTTTAGGTCAGGTTTTTTTCACCCCCTGTGTCACGTCAGGATGGCGAGCTACCGGATCACCGCAGCTTCGCGGTAGGATTTACATGAACCAAGTTACTTTCTCATTCTGAACTTATTTGCTTTGGGTTATGGACAAGAAAAACCCTACAACAATCAGACATTGATTGATGAACCGTTGAATCACTCTAGATTCATGAATGGACTAAAAAGGAAACTCTTGGGTGACATAAGGGTTTATTGTTTTTGTTGCTGAGTTGTTTGTCCTTTTTTTTTTCCCCCCCTTGTCGTGTTTTTGGTTATATTATAGAAAATCACTGTTATTATAAATATTATTAATATTGCATATCTTCCTATATATATGAAAAAAAAAACTCAAACTTGAATACAATAATTTAAGCATACTTTTGTCTAATGGTATTTTGTTCACACCCACGGGCTCCATAGGCGAACCTATCTGAGTGCCTATTATAACTGGCTGCAGTCAGGCGCCTAGCCTTAAATAAGCGTTACACAAATTTGTTTCCATGGGTTGTGAGCTTTATCATCTATCTAAAGGTCACACAGCACCCAATCATGGCTCATAAAAATTTAGATAAAGGTTAACCTAATTATATAATAAAACAAAGTGGCATTTGGATGTTTTTTGTAGATGTAGGAATATAAAATAGGCTTATATATAGGAATCAGAAGTAGGAAGAGGGATTTCGTAGCACCTATCAACATATCTAAGAGATATCTTAACAAGTATCACATAAGGACAGCAATCAGCTAATTGCAGACAGAAGGATTAATGCTGCTTAAAATTTATTGATTAAACACTATCGTCATAAAAATGTAATTACGCCTCAAGCTTGACTGATTCAACAGAAGCAGCCTGTGAAGAGAGAGAGAGGCTTTTGTTGGCAGAAATCTAACTTATTGCTGTCTGTGAACATCCACACAGACACAGATAAATTAATGAAGAATTTGGCCTGCAACCTGAATGTTACCCTGAAGTGGGAGATAATTGAACATTACAACCTCAGAGGTTATGTGTGTAGCTGAAAGAGAGACAGAAGGTTTTTATTAGTGTGTCAAAAATATCAGGCGTGTTCCCTCTAATTATACATTGATAAATACTGAAGGCACATACATTAAATGTAACATGGGTTAATCTAATTATGTTAAGGCTTGATTTGTTTTTCGTATTTTTGAAAAAAGTCTTCGTAATCTTGCATAAAACAAACCAATTTGCAAGACAACTTTTAATAATGCAGTTGCTTGATTCGTTTCTAGGCATGCTTTTTGAAAAATGTACCAGAGAAACAGAAACGGAAGGATTGGGTGTGCTTAAAGTTGCGGCTTTCAATTATTGATCTGTTTTTACTGTAGAGGTGTCAAGGTATACCAAACACCCTGGTGTGTAAGTGTGGTGAATCCTTTAATACTCCAAAAGCTAAGGATAGCCTGAGGTTAAATATTAATTGGCATAAGATGTTGGCTAAACTGCCCTGTATCTCTCTGAATGGGAGTTGCTTTGCTCAGTGCTGATGAGGACAGAATTTCAAGTGGGAAACCATCTTGCTGTTTTGAGACTATCAACATGTATTGCTTAAATATTATGTTTACCCATTCTTTTACAAAGAAAATATTTAAACACCAGAGGCTACGTGTCTCCCATCAGTTCTTTCCATAGTTTTCTACAATGTTCAGATCAGATGGGGCATTCTAGCAGCTTTTTTCCCCCTTTTTTTTCTGAAACAAATCAAGCTATTCTTTGGCTCAAGGTTCAAAATCGTTATCTTGCTTAACCATCTGGGTATCCTCAATCTTCTTCTTCCTGGTAAATTACATCATAATCTATAAAAAAAAAAAAAAAAAGAGCAGAGTAGAAAGACATCCATATTGTAACTCGGAGGGGTCACTCAGGACGATGTGCTCTAGAAACCGCCACTGCTCGGTTCATTTGTCTACCCATCATTGATTGAAGCATATAATGCCTCAATAAACAAATGTGTGGCGTTGCTATTTGCCATAAAACAGCTGGTATAGTTTTTTGGGGGGTTGTCATGAGTTCTTTTTGACCTCAAATCTAACTGATCATGGTATCTAAAGAGTTTATTTTGTTCTCGTCTGATCAAATAATATTCCTCCAGTTTTTTATGGGCTCTAATTTCTGTTAAGCAAACACGGTATATGATTCATTGGTTTTATCTTCAGGCATTGTTTTGAAGCTTTTTTTTTTTGCATTCAGTCAAATGCAGTTTAGTGCGTGAAGTTTTATTTTCTTTGAAACGGTTGTAACTTTAAGTCTTGAGATCTTGCTGGGAGCTTGTGGTTATAAACCATTTATGTTGTAATGTAGTTGTTTCCATTTCTGGATTATGATCCCAACAGGGCTCACTGGATCTTGTAGTAGTTAGGAAATATCTTCTGTCACCATATCTACTGGTATACTTTGAACAGTAATGTTGGGACGGTTGTTTCTTTTCCTTGTGTTGAATCTTAAGGCATTAATTGGGATGTTGCCTGCTGGTTTTGGGTTTTATACCTCCCCCTCCTCGTCTTCCACTGTATCTGCGACCAGTTTGCAGGGGCAATAAAATTAGCAGAGACTCCCGGACTTGTATATCCTTATATGTTTTGTTTCTGTAAATCCCTGCACTCATCAATATGATGCCTCCAAACTATAACACATAAAAGAGAGAAAGATAAATCTTCCTGATAGTGGGTTTAGTTTAGTGTAAAATAATAATGGATTTTCTCCATTTTGCATCAAAACTGGATCTAACCCCATTAATTCACTCAAAACTATCAGAATTTCCAGTCTTTATTATTTTTTATGCTTTTCTTTTACTGTTACCAGCTCATGGAGAGAAATCCAACCAGTTTTGCTGAAATGAATTGTGACATTAGAAGAGTGAGTTCACAATTTATCAGGGAAATTTTATGCTGAGGACTTTGACTTTTAAATGTGTAGAGTGGGTGGATTGCCAAATCATGATTTTAATTTTGAATATATTATTTAGTTTTTTCTTTGTTTTAAGAAACAGAAAAAGATCAAAATAGCTTTTTTTTATTTTTTTATTTTTTTAAATCATTTTTGCATTCTGCAGCAAATATACAAACATACATTTTAACATCACACCAATGCATACAAAGGACAACACAGACATACGAAATCATACAATTGTAGATGGAAAGAAACTTAATCATAGTTTCATACATTTTTTAAAAAACTTTTTTTCATTAGATCAATTAGCTTTCCTCAGTTTATTAGAAATTTATTGTTTTTATTAACCAATAAGATTTTATGACTTGTGGGATTCTGATATTGGCCTCACTATTTTAACACGTTTCACGTTGTATTTTAGTCCAGAGAAGCTTTTAGTTTGCCTTTAATCAACAAGCACAGATTGTTAAAGTCTATTTTTAAAGAAACTGCTGTTGATATAAAGCTCAAGGTTTAGTTGGACCCACAGATCTTCATTGCATGCAAGTTTAAGGGCAAAGCCATTGCTCTGTCAGCTGTGACATATTTGCTCACACCTATTAAGTAGATAAACGTGATGCATATGATAATGACCCTCTTGAATGCCTTGGCAGTGATTGAAGAATGTGAGTCATTTTCAGTGCATCCTCATAAGATGCATCTAGTTTATTATTAATCAGACCAGCCTGGTCATTACTGTCATGGTAAAAGGAAAGAGCCTGTTTATTGTTTGGATTTTAAGATAAAAAAAAAAGGGCTGTCCCTTTTGAGATTCTGAAATGAATTAAATCGAACCTTAAATAAAAACAAAGCAACATAAAGAAGCCACGAATGAGCTTACTTTTATTTTTACTTTATGCTTTTCTAAAAACTGTAAGTGGCACCTTTGTTTCTTATTATGTGGCAGTGATATATTTACATAAGTTGCATAATGGGACTAAACTGACTCGGCATGCCTGCTGCTTATGTTTACAAGAAACCTCCACAAATTGTTAAGTGCAATCAAGCATTTTTTTTCTCCAAACTCTGTTCCTTGGGGACAATGTTTTGCATTCCCTGTTTTGCTCTAGTTCCCCTGATATAAATTATTATATTACCTCCTCAGCATGCAACTGATCGCTGCAGGAGCCTCAATCTCTCATTTATTTAAGTCAGGTGTGTAGCAGTAGGGAAATCTCTAAGACATGCAGGGCTGTGAGGACCAGGGTTAGACACATGTGCTTTAGGTCAGACATCAGGATTTAAGCTTTTAGTAAGAAAGCTCTAGGACATAAGAAGATGCATACAATCCAAAAATCCTCCATAAAAAAGCTCAAATACACATACTATGGACAATTAAGGAGGGGATTTTATGTTCTGTTAGTAAAATACGTTTTTCTGTAAAATTGGAGTAAAACTGACTGACGCAGTCCTTATAGTGCCGTGTTCCATTTTATTGTACAGTTAATCTGGCACCAATCAGTGGACACACTTCTCAATATGTAGAAAAAAGAAATATAACTGATATTTATAATGGCAAAATTTGTTATTTTTTTCCCTTTTGATGTTAGTCATATAAAAATTGAGAATAGTCTGTTTTGTGATAAGGTGCCAGATCTCTTCTGGCTTTCACCTGAATGATCAGAAAGGTCTCACCTCTGTAAGACCCACTTGACCCCGATATCTTTCACTATTTCTTCCACATCGTTCATACGAGATTCCATAAAGTTTGACTAATAATTGAGAGTTTCCTTTTTATTTATATAGCAGAGGAAGTCATAAAATTAGTTTTATGTCGACACTAAACAGAACCAGTGGCACTCATTACAAACATCCAATGCCATTGATTTGGCTGCTGCTGCTTTCATCCACTGTTAACTAAGGATACTTTAGATTAAACTTATGGATGCTGTAAAATCATGAAGGAAAAGGCTTTAAAACGTGATTGCCTTCTCACTCTGAGGGGAAAGATTCAGGCTACAGCAGAGCAGTCAAGCATTAAAAAACAATTTCCCTCAAAGAGTGCCTTTGTGAACACAATGATCTGTTCATTTTGTCATTACCAACCATGTTTTTCTCTTCCTGCAAGGCTAAGCCTTTCTGTGGGTCATGGTAGTTATATGTGCCATCACAGTTAGTGTTTCTGCAGCAGAGGGGGCTTTTCTTATGATTGACGCAGCTAAACTAGTTGGGAGTGCTGGAAAACCTTGCCCCATTGGAAAAAACAAAACAAAATGCTTGAGCGTCCTAATAAACTGGATTGATATTTTTGAAGCGTTTCCCATTTTGCTCTGAAGCCACACACCCTTTATGCTTGCTCTTTTATTTTTGCTTCTAGTTTCTTTGTTCTTTTGTTGTTCAGTTCAGTAGTTGGGAGGAAAAAAAGGAGCAAATCCAGGCGGATATGAGACAAACAGAAAGTAGAATGACCTCCAGGGCCACGTCAGTGTGGAGGCAGCAGTGACAGCAGATGTCCAGGCACTATGGGCTCACCCAAATAAATTAGCATTATAAACTGTACTTTTGTGGGTTTTAGTTGTTTTGTTTAGAATAAAT